TTTACAGTCTCGGTAAATCGTTTTCCAGTGATTCGTTGCTTTTTTACTTCGCTGAAAGTTTTTACCCTTTCTGTGCAAGCAAATAATTTTTTACGCATTGCCCAACTGCCTCCCCCCCTTCAAGGACAGATTTTCAGGAAGGAGAGTACGAAGCTCCTTCAAAACAGCAGGCCGGCACTAACCGCAGAGGCCTTTCACGACGAGTGCATGGGCCTAGAATCCTAATATCATCAATCGGTGGGACAATGATAATAAAGAATTGCTCGTAATTGACTTCAGAAGGTCGTCGACAGTGGCAGACCTAAAGCATATTAAAAACTGCTACTCTATGTGCCGTAGCGTCAAAAGTCGAGATAAGTAGCAAGGGTTTAAGCTATCGTATCATACCGTAGGTTAATCGAAAGGCATAGATTTATCCACAGGTAACCGTTGGTTTGTCATGGCATGGGCCCCGCTGTTAGATGAGAACTGTCACTTCCGACAGCATTAAAGAAAGACACGGCGTTCTTTTATAAGATCCGTCTAGGCTGGGATATTATGAGGCTTTGTTGTCCTTGAAAAGTACAAATACGGTCAGAGACGATTTTATCTGTTGCACTAATCGGACGAAACTTATTCACGAGTTCTTACGATCCGCGGTTTTGTAGAAGCAAGCCGGGGTACTGACACCAGTCACATGGAAATGTGAGAGGCCTACATAAGTGATTTCTAAGTACTGGAGCTACGGACGTTAAAAGAATATGAAACACGGTTGAATTTCGTAAATTTGCTCGGGGTGAGAATGAATGACCCACGAACAGACGCCGATAATACAAACCATTTTCCTCGAAGCGTCAAGGCATTATAAAAACAAGGAAACTGTGGGCATGTAATCGTCTGCGCGAAATGCGCAACACAGGTGCTGAGACAACACAGTCGTGGAAACTGTACCATCTACAGTACGATTCTGACCAGTGTTTATCCTGTATTCACAGATACAACTGAGGCATACCATGCTTTCACAGAAGTACACTAGACAATTCCATTTGTAGTAGGTGCGTCCTGATATCCCAGTACAAATGCCCCATATGTGAAGGACCTTTCAGGCGTCCTGCACCCCCAGTGATCTCAAGCCTGTTATGTCTGATAATGACACTCAATTTCGGTGAGAACCCTAGGCA